GATTCACACTCCTTAAATATATATTTACATTCTTTCCTCGGGTGTAAATCTAAAGGTTGTCCCCATTCACCTTTTTATTTTCCCGCTCTTGTCTGATTGGGCTTAGTCGACAATTTCAACATATAGTCATGTGATGATTCTCCACTAATGAGTATTTCAATATTTAAGCTTACACTAAGTAATCCAAACACACTAGTATCTAAGCCCAAACATTAAATACAATTGCGCAAAATCAATGTTTTCAATTAAAGCTCATGATTGATCCTCACACTCTTAATCTTTATTCTTGACCTACATAGCGAGCTTTAGGTTCATAACTCTCCGATTTTTTTTATTAGGCCAAAGGTTACCATGTTTCGAAATATTCTTATGGACTTAATAACTCGAGTCAAAAAGGCTACGAAGTTAGGCAGGAATTCAACAAGTGCAATGCTCTTCTTTTAAGCACAACATAACATATAGGGCTTAAACTCCTAGCACATGTCTGGTCATTACATAGCTTATACTTAGGAAAAGACATTCCACACAAATATTATCAATATGCATGGAATCAATACACTTCTAGATAATATCATTTCCCGACTCAACTACCCCCAGACTTATCTTGCAATATGGTTAAGTGAAAGAGAAGTAAATATAAAATTGATATAAATTTATGCACAACTCACAACCCACAACCTAATTCTTACCCATTCAAGATCATACAATCAATAAAAAATTTCCACATCGAGTCGAGATTTGTCAAGACTATTGTGCTCAGAGTAATTTGAGATCTCACATGGACAAAAAAAATTTTAAAATTTTAGACACAAATAACATATTTGATCATATCTCATGAATCAATAAAATTTTAAAAATCAAAACAATTCGACGGATATCTAACATGTCAACGAGAAATCACCAATTTAAGCACAATCACACCTAAACTTAAATTATGCATTGTTCTCAATGTGAAAAAGAACAAGATAAAAGAAAAGAAGATAATAAAACTTCCCCAGTTTAATATTTGTGAAGAACTACCAAAGCTTGAATTGGACTTGTGATGCTTTTGATAAGCTTGGGCAAGTGACCTTCTATATACCAATTTACCCCCAAACTTGTTAGGAACCATAAGTAAATAGGACTTCAAAAAAATTACCTACAAAAATAAAGACATATAATCATATAAAAGCATGAAAATACATAAAAGTAAATAAAAAGATTAAAAATTAAAAAATTGGGTTGTCTCCTAACAAGTGAAATTTTAAAGCCTTCAGTTCGACTTTGACAATTGAATCATGGGTATTTAAAGAAGGTTTTAGATGCCTTTTACATTTTTATTCTTTCGAATTTGCTTCACTCTTCATTTGATTTCCAAAACTCTACATTGCCCGTTTTCATACAAGAGGACTTGCCTATTCCATACAATTCAAATTCAACCATGAAGACTTCGAACTCTTCATTCGATTTAATCACAAAATCAATTTTCGAGCAATTCATGAAGCCGAAAGAATTATATGTTACTTTCATCCTCATTGATTTTCATGCCTTCGCTTGGTTCCATTGTGAATAAATTATCATTAACTTTGAGCTCTTCTTCAATGGTTGAAAATCATCAAGTTGATTGATTGGTCCGCAATCAAACTCCACAAGCAATTGCAAGTATTTTCTATTAACTCCATAGATTGGATTATACCCCCACTTTTGTGATAACATTTGTGACCAATTATTTGGTTAATTTGTGATCAAGAATTGGTGGTGGATCGGGATCGAAATGGGGTGTTTGGAGTATGTGACCAACTATTTGGTTTATTGTGAT